CGAACATGAAGTGCGGGCCCCATAGGGAGGGGCTCCCGCCTGAGACTCCTCACAATTCACTCACAGACGAAGCTCCCGCTCGAGACTTCCTCAGCATTCAGGTCTCAAGAGCCCAAAAGTGACGACAGTTACACGTTGCGGATGACCCGCTCGGATTCGAACATGAAGTGCGGGCCCCATAGGGAGGGGGCTCCCGCCTGAGACTTCCTCACAATTCACTCACAGACGAGGCTCCCGCTCGAGACTTCCTCCATATTCAAGCCTCAAGAGCCCAAAAGTGACGACAGTTACACGTTGCGGATGACCCGCTCGGATTCGAACATGAAGTGCGGGCCCCATAGGGAGGGGGCTCCCGCCTGAGACTTCCTCGCAATTCACTCACAGACGAGGCTCCCGCTCGAGACTTCCTCCATATTCAGGTCTCAAGAGCCCAAAAGTGACGACAGTTGCACGTTGCGGATGACCCGCTCGGATTCGAACATGAAGTGCGGGCCCCATAGGGAGGGGGCTCCCGCCTGAGACTTCCTCACAATTCACTCACAGACGAGGCTCCCGCTGATACTTCCTCCATATTCAGGCCTCAAAGCCCAAAAGTGACGACAGTTACACGTTGCGGATGACCCGCTCGGATTCGAACATGAAGTGCGGGCCCCATAGGGAGGGGGCTCCCGCCTGAGACTTCCTCGCAATTCACTCACAGACGAGGCTCCCGCTCGAGACTTCCTCCATATTCAGTCTCAAGAGCCCAAAAGTGACGACAGTTGCATGTTGCGGATGACCCGCTCGGATTCGAACATGAAGTGCGGGCCCCATAGGGAGGGGGCTCCCGCCTGAGACTTCCTCACAATTCACTCACAGACGAGGCTCCCGCCTGATACTTCCTCCATATTCAGGCCTCAAGTCAGCGAGTAGTGATGATGATGATGATGATGATGATGATGATGATGATGATGATGATGATGATGATGATGATGATGATGATGATGATGATGATGATGATGATCGTTCGATGCCGATGATGGTGAATGATCGTGCGATGGTGATGGTGATGCTGATGGTGATGATGATGATGAGTGGGGAGTGATGGTGATGGTGATGATGATGCGGAGGAGGAAGCAAAGAGGAGCAGAGGAGAGGGAGGAGGAGGAGGAGGAGGAGGAGGAGAGATCCTGCGCGGAGGGTGTGCAGAGGAAACAAGAACCCCACTTAGGATGTGGGGAACAAGAACCCCACTTAGGATGTGGGGAATGATGATGATGATGATGATGATGATGATGATGATGATGATGATGATGATGGTGATGATGATGATGATGAGTATGTGAGTGACTGAGCGTGTGAGAGAGCGCGAGTGATGATGCTGATGTTGATGATGAGAGAGTGTGAGTGAGTGTGAGTGTGAGTGAGTGGTGATGATGATGAGTGAGTGAGTGAGTGTGCGAAGGCAGAAGAGGAGAGGGGGTGGGGTGAGTGTTCCTGCGCGGGGTGTGCAGAGAAAACAAGAACCCCACTTTGGATGTGGGGAACAAAACAATACATATGATACGGGAGAAAACCCCAATCGAAGTCTTGCTAGGGCTATAAGGCTATTGGGCTATTGGGCTATTGGGCTATAGGGCGACTGGGCTATGGGGCTATAGGGCTAGGGGGCTATGGGGCTATAGGACCATGGGGCTGTAGGTCTATAGGGCCATAGGACTATAAACTATAGGGCCATAGGACTATGGGACTGTAGGGCTACAGGGCTATGGGGCCATGGGGCTACGGGTCTATGGGGCTACAGGACTGTAGGGCTATGGGGCTGTTGGGCTATGGGGCGATGGGGCTATGAGGCTATAGGGCTATGGGGCTATAGGGCAATAGGGCTATATGTCTATTATAAAGCTATAGAGTTATAGGGCTATAGGGGTCATATGGCTATAGGGATATGGGGCTGTGGGACTATAGGGCTATAGAGCTATAGGCACATACAGCTGTAAGGCTATAGGGCTATAGGGCTGTAAGGCTATAAGGCTATAAGGCTATAGGGCTATGAGTCTATAGGGCGATGGAGCTATAGGGCTATAGGAGCGGGCTATAGGACCATAGGGCTATAGGGCTATTAGGCTATAGGGCTATGGGGCTTAAAGCTATAGGGCTGTAGGCATCTAGAGCTATAGGGCTATAGGGCTATAAAGATATAAGGCCATAGGGCTATAGGGCTATGGGAATATACGGCTATAGGGATATGGGGCTAAAGAGCTATTGGCCTATTGGGCTATGCGGCTATAGGGCTATGGGGCTATAGGGCTATGGGGCTATAGGGGTATAGGGCAATAGGGCTATAGGGCTATAGGGGTATAGGGCTATGCGGCGATAGGGCCATAGGGCTCTAGGGCTCTAGAGCTATAAGGCCATAGGGCTCTAGGGCTATAGGGCTGTAGGGCTTTTGGGCTGTAGGACTATAAGGCTATAAGGCTATAGGCCTGTAGGGCTATAGGGTTGTAAAGCTATAGGGCTACAGGGCTATAGGGGTGTAAGACAGCCGGGCACCCGGGCACCCACGCACCCAGGCACCGGGGCACCCGGGCACCCAGGCGGGCCGCGGCAATGTGTGGCAAACCTCACCTAACCATATGATACCGGAGAAAAAAACATATCAAAGTCTGTTTAGGGCTATAGGGCTGTGGAGCTGTTGGGCTATAAGGCGATGGGGCTATGAGGCTATAGGGCTATGGGGCTATGGGGCAATAGGGATATAGGTCTATAGGGCTATAGAGCTATAGGGCTATAGGGCCGAAGGGCTATAGGGATATAGGGCTGTGGGGGGGGGAGCTATAGACCTATGGGCACATAGAGCTATAAGACTAAAGGGTTATAGGGCAATAGGGCTATTAGGCTATAAGGCTATAGGGCTGCAGGGCCATCGGGATAGAGGGCTATAGGGCTATAGGGCTAAAGGCCTATAGGGCTACGGGGCTATAGGGATATGGGGCCGTAGGGCTATTGGCCTATTGGGCTATGGGGCTATAGGGCTATGGGGCTATAGGGCTAGTGGGCGATAGGGCCATAGGGCTATAGGGCTCTAGGGATATAGGGTTATAGGGCTATAGGGCTATAAAGCTATAGGGCTACAGGGCTATAGAGCTATAGGGCTCTAGGGCGATAGGGCTATAGGACTACAAGGCTATAAAGCTATAGGGCTATTGGGCTATAGGGCTATAGGTCTATTGGGCTATGGGGCTATAGGGCTATAGGGTTATAGGGCTAACGTGCTACAGGGCTACAGGGCTGTAGAACCTATAGGGCACAAGGGCTATAAGGCACCCGAGCACCTGGGCACCTGGGCACCTGAGCACCCGGGCACTCGGGCACCCGGGCACCCGGGCGGACCGCGGAAATCGGTGGCAAGCCTCACCTAACCATATGACTCCGCTAGGACCCCTACAGAGGCAAGCTCTGATTGGGGAACTGTTCGTTTCTACCCCCTGCGCTGCCACACGGCTCGTAGCGAAGCCTGGTGCGTCTTCCTGTCATTTTGGCACTGCGTGGTTGATTGACAATCACACTGCGATTTGCCCTCCCAACGTCGCCAGGTGACGGGCAAGATTGGCATAGGTCTTAGGGCGTACGGCTTAGGGCTCAGGGATTGGGTATGAAGTCTCTTAGGGCTTAAAGGTTTGGGGGATATTGGGGTTAGGGCGTAAGGCTTAGGGCTCGGGGCTCAGGGCTGCGGACTTAAGGCTACAGGCGTCGGTCTTAAGTATTAAGATTTATGGTTCAGGGCACAGGGCTAACGGGTTAGGGTTTAGGGCTTAGGTACTAAGGCTTAGGGCTTAGGGTTTGGGGCAGAAGGGTGGGGGCCTAAGGCCTAGGGCCCAGGGTTGAGGGCTGAGGGCTGCAGGCTTAAGGCTTCAGGCTTAGGTATTAGGGCTTAAACCTTAGGCTTTAAGGCTTAAGGCTTCAGGATTAGGGATTAGCGCTCAGGACGTAGGCCTTGAAGGATTGGAGTTCAAAGTTTAAGGCGTAGGGCTTACGGCTTCAGGCACAGGGCGCATGACGTAGGGCTCAGAGCTAAGGGTTTTGGGCTTAGGTTTTGTTCGTAAGGCTTAGACCTTGGGGAAAAGGGTTGACGCCTAGGGCCGAGGGCTCAGAGCTGAGGGCTGAGGACTGAAAGATGAGGGTTTCGGGCTTAGGTCCGAGGTCTCAAGGCGTGAGGCTTAAGATTCAACGGTAAGCGCTGAAGGCTGATATCTGAGGGCTTAAAGCTTAAGGCTCACGGCTTAGGGCTCAGGGCATCGGGGCTCGGGCTTATGCCCTAGGGTCGGGGTCTCAGGGCTGAGGACTTAAGACTTCGGGCTCAGGGCTTACGGTGCGCAGCTTAGGGCGTGAGACTTAAAGCTTAGGGCTGAGGGCTGAGAGCGTAAGACTTAGAAGCCTCGGGTTTGGGGCCGAAGGTTTAGAGCTCAGGGCGCAAGGTTTCAGGCTTAGAGTGTAAGGTTTCGAGCTTAGGGCCTAAGCTGTAGCCTTAGGACTTAAGGCGTTTGGCTTAGGCCATAGGGCATAGGGCATAGGCTTAGGGCTGACGGCTTAGGGCTGACTGCTTAGGGCTAGACTGAAGGCTTAAGGCTTAATGCTTAGGACTTAAGTATCATGGTTTAGGGCCCAGGGCTTCGGGTTTAGGGCCAAGGCCTGGGTCTTAGGGCTTAGGGCTGAGGGCTGAAGGCTTAAGATTTAGGTATTAGGTCTTAGAGCTTAAGGCTTAGGGCTTGGGGCTGGGGGCACAGGGGCTTAGAGCCTAGGGCTTACGTCTTGCGGCTTAGGGCTTCGGGCTTAGGACTTAAGGCTCGGGGCATAGGGCTCAAGGGGCAAGGCTGAGGAGGTAGGGGAGGCCTGATGGTCCTGGAGACCGACCACGGGCCCCAGAGACCCAAATCTAGGAAGACTGGCGGGATTGAAGACACCATCTCGTCGGAGGCCTGGGCCCCCCTAGCCCCCGAGGAGCCCGCCCCACCCGCCACCTCCTGGCGCCCCGCTCCGGCGGGCAGCGCCGCGAGCACGGCCGCCGCGGCCCGGGCGGCCTGGCGCAGCGCCTCGGCGGCGGCCGCTGGGCTGCAGCGCGGCTCGAGGCACAGGGCCTTCGCGAGCCTCTCGAGAATGGGGGGCGGACATCCTCGCCCCGTGAAACAAATTCATCCCTGAGATCAGGGCGGCGCAACTTTTTCACACTGGGCGTGTTCGCCCGGCTTCGGGCCCCGAGGACATTACAGACCGATCCTGGCCTCCAACTGGCGCAGAAAAATGGGGTCTTGGAATCTGGACGTGATTTTCTGCGATATTGCAATTTTTTCGCGACGTCGGATCTCAAGGTCGTCGCACCGTGAAAAAATTGCGCGTCGGAAAGAAACGGCGTCGCATGTCTGGAATAGTAACGTTTGGGGGGGCGCCTTTTCACCTCTTTTGAATATCCAAAGGGGTCCTCGTCGACACGGCTGGATATGCCTCGAAGTCCTGGTCGAACACACACCCGGAGAACCCAGGGGATCGGGCGCCGCAGCTTGTTCGCGACGTGGCGCCCCACGCCTCCACAGACTCAAATAGGATCTTTCGGCCTCTGGGCCCGCCGCTGGGCCCCAGCACCGTCAAGAAATGGCTGGGGATGAAAAGCAGGTCCTTCGGGAAGAGCTCGAAGGGCCCAGGGGCCCGAGACTCCAAGATGTCCAGTCGCTGGAGGTCTGGGTCATGGCCCGCCCGTCTCTCTTCCTCTTTCGGCCCGCTCTGCAAGAAGACGCGAACCACGGCAGGCCCACGTCGGAATGACATGGGCGTTCGGTCTCTGCTGATACTTCATGGGGGGAGGGGACGTCCAGACGCGTCCAGGGCAGCAAAAAGTCACAACCGGAGCCCTAGACCCCATATTTCTGCTGCAATTTTCGAGCCCGACTGATCTGTGAGGGTCTCGGGGCCCAGAACAACGAGAATCGCCCAGTGTGGAAACATGGCGACGCCAGGATCTCAGGGGACTGCTGCCAGGGAGGGAGGGGGAACCGCCACGCCACGTTCAGCAGGGGGCCAGCGGCAGCCGCCTGGGCACCTGGCGGCGGGGAGGACAAATCTGGCTCTTGACCCCACGCTGCACGCAGTGGGCTGCGGTAGGCACTATAACTTCAGAGCTCGCTACTTCCCTCGGGCTCGTTCGCCAGGGCTGGATGAAGCAAGATCCACCCACATGCATCCCCAGAATCCAACGCATTGAGAAAAACAAGACCGAGGTGTTTCGCAAATTTCGCCTCCCACTGCCCTCGCCGGGCCCCAAAAATAACTCGGGATGTAAAACCAACCCCCGCATGCCAGAGATCTGGTGTCTCGACTTTTCCATACGGGGTCCCCCGAAGTCCCGACCCTTTCCCCAGGACCAGTTTTAAATCCAGAGCCGTTTCTTGACGGTCCCAGGACTCCCAGAGTGCTGCCGCTTCCCTGCTGCCGCTCTGACTCGCCCTCAGACCACCTTGATCTTGACCTCTTCCTTCTCCTCCGCCTCATCCTCTCTGGGTGCCGGTCCCGACACAAATCCACTCAAAATCAACCCCAAAAACACGCCTGGAGTCCAGCCTGGGCAGTTCGCCATCCTGGATCGAAGTCTGACAGCACCTGAACGGGCCCATTCAGGCCGAAATCGAGACAACTGATATTTCCTTACTTCTGATTACCCTGCTCCTCCCTCCTCCTCCTCCTCTTCTTCCTCCTCCTCGTTCTCCTCCTCCTCCTCCTCCTCCTCCTCCTCGTCCTTGTCCTCGCCCTCCTCCTCCTCCTCCTCCTCCTCCTCCTCCTCCTCCTCCTCCTCCTCCTCCTCCTCCTCCTCCTCCTCCTCTTCCTCATCCCCCCCTCCTCCCGTCCTCCCGTCCTCCTCCCCGAAGTACCCCCCCGCGTCTGCCATCTTCGACCGACGACGACGACCACAACGACGAAAAGGTCGGCGACGACGACGACGACGACGACCACGAGGACGACGACGACGACGACGACGACGACGACGACAACGACGAGAACGACAACAAGAACGACGACGAGAACGACGACGAGGGCGGCGGCGGCGACGGCGACGACGAGATCGACGACGAGATCGACGACGACGACGACGACGACGACGACGACGACGACGACGACGGCGAGATCGACGACGACGACGACGACGACGACGACGACGGCGAGATCGACGACGATGGCGGCGAAGGCGGAGCACGCTGCACGAGGCCGAGACAGTGCTGCTCCAGCGCCCGCTGCGCCGCAGGGTTGGGCGCCGGCTGCGCAGCCAGCGCGGCGCGCAGCCACGCCTCTCTCGGTGACCCTCAGGACGCGTGTTGGCGCCAACGTGTGCCTGTCCACCGAAGCCATGCAAATGCAACGCGTGCCTAGAGGATCGAAGAAAGGCATAAGCACAATTCCTCTGAGGTCCGAACAAATGTCTTGGATCGAGCGCGCCAGGGGCAGCCGATCCGAGAAATCCGTGCAGAACTCCGAGAGCTTATGTTTATGAAATGTTCCTTCTTCGCGTGCCACGCAATGAGAACCGACACTGGCTGCGTGAAACTGAACGGGTAAACACACACTGGACTCACACACGACCTGAAGATCATCGGATCTCTCTCTCTCTCCCCCGAAGGCGGCGCCGGCCCGGGCCGATGCTGGCCAGGGCCAGCGCTGACCCGGGCCAGCCAGGCCCAGGCCCCCATCCCAGACATCAAACGCAGTGAAAATTATCCTGGCGAAGGGCCAAACCATACGCAATTCCGAATGCCGCCGTTGTAAGTATCGTCGTTGGTGGAACACCCGATGGGGCCACGAAGCGTGTGAGAGGTGCGCCGAAATGGAGGTGGAACTGCATGCGGACCCTGCCACTGGGGCCTTCGGTGGAGCACCCTGTGGGGCCACGAAACGTGTGGGGGGTGCGCCGAAATGGAGGTGGAACTGCATGCGGACCCTGCCATTGGCGCCCTCGGTGGAGCTCCCTATGGGGCCGCGAAACGTGTGAGGGGTGCGCCGAAATGGAGGTGGAACTGCATGCGGACCCTGCCACTTGGGCCTTAGGCGGAGCTCTCTATGGGGCCACGAAACGTGTGAGGGGTGTGCCGAAATGGAGGTGGAACTGCATGCGGACCGTGCCACTTGGGCCTTAGGCGGGGCTCCCTATGACGCCACGAAACGTGTGAGGGGTGCGCCGAAATGGAAGTGGAACTGCATGCGGACCCTGCCACTTAGGCCTTAGGCGGAGCTCCCTATGGGGCCACGAAACGTGTGAGGGGTGCGCCGAAATGGAGGTGGAACCGCATGCGGACCCTGCCACTGGGGCCTCAGGTGGAGCTCCCTATGGGGCCACGAAGCGGGGGTGCGCCGAAATGGAGGTGGAACCGCATGCGGACCCTGACACTTGGGCCTTCGGTGGAGCTCCCTATGGGGCCACGAAACGTGTGAGGGGTGCGCCGAAATGGAGGTGGAACCGTATGCGGACCCTGCCACTGGGGCCTCGGTGGAGCTCCCTATGGGGCCACGAAGCGTGTGAGGGGTGCGCCGAAATGGAGGTGGAACCGCATGCGGACCCTGACATTTGGGCCTTCGGTGGAGCTCCCTATGGGGCCACGAAACGTGTGAGGGGTGCGCCGAAATGGAGGTGGAACCGCATGCGGACCCTGACACTTGGGCCTTCGGTGGAGCTCCCTATGGGGCCACGAAACGTGTGAGGGGTGCGCCGAAATGGAGGTGGAACCGCATGCGGACCCTGACACTTGGGCCTTCGGTGGAGCTCCCTATGTGTGAGACCGCATGCGGACCTAGGGGGGCCACGAAACGTGTGAGGGTGCGCCGAAATGGAGGTGGAACCGCATGCGGACCCTGACACTTGGGCCTTCGGTGGAGCTCCCTATGGGGCCACGAAACGTGTGAGGGGTGCGCCGAAATGGAGGTGGAACCGCATGCGGACCCTGACACTTGGGCCTTCGGTGGAGCTCCCTATGGGGCCACGAAACGTGTGAGGGGTGCGCCGAAATGGAGGTGGAACCGCATGCGGACCCTGACACTGGGGCCTTCGGTGGAGCTCCCTATGGGGCCACGAAACGTGTGAGGGTGCGCCGAAATGGAGGTGGAACCGCATGCGGACCCTGACACTTGGGCCTTCGGTGGAGCTCCCTATGGGGCCGCGAAAACGTGTGACGGGTGTGCCGAAAGTCGAAGATGCGGGGGGCAAGAGGCAGGGATGGAGGGGAGGAGGAGGAGGAGGGAGGAGGAGGAGGAGGAGGAGGAGGAGGAGGAGGAGGAGGAGGAGGAGGAGGAGGAGGGAGGAGGGGGAGGAGGAGGAGAGGAGGAGAGACGCGGGGCACCGTCTCTTCAAAACGAGAACCCAACACCACAGGATGGTTGGGAAAAACAAGCAGGAAGGTTTTCGCCGTTATCGGCCTTGGGGGCCCTTGCCGGGCCCCAGGACCACCAAAAACTATTCGGGATAGAAAACCGGCCCGAGGGGTCTGCCAGAGACCTCGCTTCGAAAAAAGGGCAGAAGGGATCTCTGGGCTCTCGCTGAGAAAAAGCACAGCGGACGGTCGTTGGCCCTGTCTACCCCTGGGAGGCACTTGCCAGGCCCTGGGGCCGTCAAGAAGCGGCCCAGAAAAGCTGGCCTCGTGGGACAGATCCAGACCTCCAGGGGTCCACGCTGTCAAAAAACAAATTAAACCAAACAAGAGTGAAGATTAGGGGGGACTGGCTCAGGAGGGGGAGCAACATCGACCTGAAATCGGCGGTGCACCGCCGGTAGAACGGCGAAAGGCCCCCGACTCCGAATCCGCCCGCTCCCGGGCGGGGTGAGCTACTAGAAACCCATCGTCGATGCATAGGAGTGCGGTGGCCGACCCGACCAGAGTGGACAATGTGGTAACCTGGGCCTGGTTTTCGCAAGACTGCTCGATATTTGAAAACGTTGAGAACCCAGACCTTCACCCAGGGAAGAGCCTCTGAAATGCTTGTTCTGTCTTCGTCTCATGGCTCTAGCTGCGATATTTCAAGCAATTCACTGCGGGGAACCGATCTGGTCTGAGCATGAGACTTAAAAATGCGCTGTTGCATGATTGCATTAAGAATGAAAGCCGTTCTGAATGCTTCCATGTGGCAATTTGATAATTTCCAGCGCGCAGCAAACAAAACAGGAAACATATACAAATTATCCTGGCGAAGGGCCCAACCATACGCAATTCCGAATGCCGCCGTTGTAAGAATCGTCGTTGGTGGAACACCCGATGGGGCCACGAAGTGTGTGAGAGGTGCGCCAAATGGAGGTGGAACTGCATGCGGACCCTGCCACTGGGGCCTTCGGTGGAGCACCCTGTGGGGCCGCGAAACGTGTGAGGGGTGCGCCGAAATGGTGGTGGAACTGCATGCGGACCCTGCCATTGGCGCCCTCGGTGGAGCTCCCTATGGGGCCGCGAAACGTGTGAGGGGTGCGCCGAAATGGAGGTGGAACTGCATGCGGACCCTGCCACTTGGGCCTTAGGCGGAGCTCTCTATGGGGCCACGAAACGTGTGAGGGGTGTGCCGAAATGGAGGTGGAACTGCATGCGGACCCTGCCACTTGGGCCTTAGGCGGAGCTCCCTATGACGCCACGAAACGTGTGAGGGGTGCGCCGAAATGGAAGTGGAACTGCATGCGGACCCTGCCACTTAGGCCTTAGGCGGAGCTCCCTATGGGGCCACGAAACGTGTGAGGGGTGCGCCGAAATGGAGGTGGAACTGCATGCGGACCCTGCCACTGGGGCCTCAGGTGGAGCTCCCTATGGGGCCACGAAGCGTGTGAGGGGTGCGCCGAAATGGAGGTGGAACCGCATGCGGACCCTGACACTTGGGCCTTCGGTGGAGCTCCCTATGGGGCCACGAAACGTGTGAGGGGTGCGCCGAAATGGAGGTGGACCCGCATGCGGACCCTGACACTGGGGCCTTCGGTGGAGCTCCCTATGGGGCCACGAAACGTGTGAGGGGTGCGCCGAAATGGAGGTGGAACCGCATGCGGACCCTGACACTTGGGCCTTCGTGGAGCGCCACGCCACTGCGCCACGCGTTCGGTGGAGCTCCCTATGGGCCTGTGTGCGCCGAAATGGAGGGGGCATGGAACACTTGGGCAGCTCCTAAACACGAAACGTGTGAGGGTGCGCCGAAATGGAGGTGGAACCGCATGCGAACCCTGACACTTGGGGCCTTCGGTGGAGCTCCCTATGGGGCCACGAAACGTGTGAGGGGTGCGCCGAAATGGAGGTGGAACTGCAGCGGACCCTGACACTTGGGCCTTCGGTGGAGCCTCTCCAATGGGGCCACGAAAACGTGTGAGACGCCGAAATGGAGGTGGAACCGCATGCGGACCCGACACTTGGGCCTTCGGTGGAGCTCCCTATGGGGCCACGAAACGTGTGAGGGGTGCGCCGAAATGGAGGTGGAACCGCATGCGGACCTTGCCACTGGGGCCTTCGGTGGAGCTCACTATGGGTCCACGAAACGTGTGGCCATGATGGAGACGGCGATGATGATGACGACGATGGTGATAAGAACGATGATGATGATGATGCTGATGATGACGGTGACAATGACGATGATGATGATGCTGATGATGAGAGGAGGAGGAGGAGGAGGAGGAGGAGGAGGAGGAGGAGGAGGAGGAGGAGGAGGAGGAGGAGGGGGAGGAGGAGGAGGAGGAGGAGGAGGAGGAGGAGGAGGAGGAGGAGGAGGAGGAGGAGGAGGAGGAGGGGGAGGAGGTTCTCCCCCACTTGTAGCATCCTGAGGCTCGTTTGGGGGCCCTGAGATCGTCAGAAAGCTGTCCAGGATGCAAGAAACAGGATGGGACCCCGAGAGGGCTCCGTTGAGCGGCTTGGGTCGGGACGGGGTCGACGATTGGGGATCGAGGTTAAAGGATCGAAGCTCCAAATTGTGGACCGAGCTCAGCCTATTTTGGGCCTGTGGAATGCGTCTCGTCGCCACGACTGGCTCCGTCTCGAGATCCTGATAAGAACGCACCCACGGACAGGTTCGGAGGATTTTTTGAGGAAAGAGCGAGGAGGAGCGAGGAGGAGGATGTAGGAGATGCGAGGAAGAGGAAGAGCCTGAGGAGGCGCGCAAAAGAGTGGTGGACGGGTGTCGCCTGGCAAATGCCAGCGCCGGGTGGCGCTGCGAGACCCGAGACCGAGGAGGCGGCGCGGCCCAGAGGAGGAGCGAGGAAGAACGAGGAGGAGCGGAGGAGTAACAGGAGGACAGAGGATGGAGACAAAGCCTCTTCAGGGGCTCGGTAACCCTCGCTCCCGCCCATCCCTCTCACCAATTACTGCTTCCTGGAGCCTTGAAAACCTTGCTTCGCCTGCCCATTTGGGAGCACATCGCCCTCTGGGAGTTGCAGATTGCATCTATTGGCGGCGCGCCCAGTGGGCAAGGCAGAGGGGGCGGGCCTTCCCAGGGGTTCAGAAGACCCCTGGCCTTCTGAGAAGCTTCCGAAGCCTTCTCCGAAGCCACATGTGGCTTCTCAAAGGCCCGAGGGCTTCTGAGAAGCCATGCCGCCTTCTGATAAGGCATGCCCCCTCTCAATTCCCCCCTCTGCACACAGCCGAACCTGCAGCAGGTTCAGGTCACGATAGCGCGGGCGTTGGTCTCTGACGCTTCGAGGATCGCCAGCGCCTGGTAGTGACGATGAGGAGCGGATCGGACGACGCCAGGTGGTGCGGAGAAGCAGCGGCGGCTGGGCCCTAATTACCTCGCCGCCGTCGTCGTCGTCGTCGCCGTCGTCGTCGTCGTAGTGGTCGGCGTCGGGGGCGGCGGCGGCGATGGCGGCGGCGTCGAGCGGCAAGCAGCACTGTCGGCTACACGCAGGGATGACCTCTGGCGAGAGACCCTCGCTCCCGCCGTTTTGTGGGTGGGAGCAAATCTAAGCGCGCAGGCAAGTGCTGGGGGACCCTGAGATCCGACGCTCTGCGGCTTTTCAAGCCGGATCCATACATAACAACCCGAAACCCGAGACCTGGCGAAAACGCCCGTCGTGAAAATATTGCAGCGCCTGGATCTCGGGAAACCCCTGTGGGCCCACCCACACCAGAGGTCACTCCGGCGAGGGGCTGCTCCTGCGCGCAGCCGAAGCAGCAGCGGGCGCACTCGCCAAAGGGCCTCCGCGGCCCGGCCGAGCGCAGGCGCGCCCTCCGGAGGGCAGCACCCCAGCAGCGCCGCGCAGGCTGGGCGCGAGACGACGACGACGACGACGACGACGACGACGACGACGACGACGACGACGACGACGGCGACGACGGCGGCGGCGGCGGCGGCGGCGGCGGCGGCAGCAGCGGCGGAGGCGGCAGTTGCAGCAGAGGCGGCGGAAGGAAAGGGGTCTCACGCGAGAAGACACTGCGACCTTACGCCGCGGCTTACGCGGGCCGCCAGCGTGCGGCCTTGCGCGGGAAGCTTACGCACGAGCGTCGGCGAGAGCCGACCCCGTGTTCCTGCGCTGCTCTGGTGTCGAATCAGACATTGATTTCTAGGTGGCATCTGCAGTGTTTGGCCCGTCGCCTGCTGCACCGCCGCGACGGAAAGGCAGAGGCGGCGACGCCGATGGCGGCAAGCGGCGGCAGCGGCAGCGGGACCTCAGGCGATGGCAGCGACAGCAGCAGCAAAGGCAGCGGCGGCGGCGACGGCGGCGGCGGGCCAGCAAGGAGAAGGTGGGCAAGGGATGACAGGACCAGGAACGGAGAACCGAGAACCTGCAAGAACCCGAGGACGCTGACGCAGTCAAGAAATACGGCGAGGACGAGGCAGCAGGCAAAGCGGCACCAAAACCGCGGCGTGGGAGCAGGAGGAGGAGGAGGAGGAGGAGAAGAAGAAGGAGGAGGAGGAGCAACAGCAGCAGCAGGAGCAGCAGGAGCAGGGGGGCAGGAGCACAGAAATCCCCTGTCTTGATGTGTACCACACGAGGTCCCCAGAAGTCCTGACACTTCCCCATGAGCTGGCTTTTCATCAGGAGACGTTTTTTGACAGTCGAGGGGCCCCCGGAGGCCCAAAACACAGAAAGTGATCCATCTTGATTCATTGACTACGTTGGATGTGTGGGAGGAGGAAAAGGAGAAGGAGGAGGAGGAGGAGGAGGAGGAGGACGACGACGACGACGACGACGACGGCGGCGGCGACAGCGGCGGCGGCGGCGAAAGGCGGCGGCGGCAGCGTAAGGCGACCGGTGAGCGGTCCTGCGAAGCCCTCGACCAAGGAGTCGGCGGGGGGCCCTCCGCCGACGCCGCCAGGGCCGCCTGGCTCCCCGGGGGGGGAGGGGGCGCGAGTCGCTGCGGGTCTCCGCTGCTGCCCTCGCCGCTCCCGCTGCCGGTGCTGCTGCAGCTCCGCCCCTCTCTGGTGTGCGTCACGTCTACCTCACGTGACCTCCCCTGCTACTCTGCCCTGTCTGACGATGGAATGGAAAGCTAAGCAAAGGCTGATGCTCGAATGCCCAGGCCTGACGAGCAAGAACAAACACGGACGGCTGGAGCGGTGCACACTTTGAGTGCCGGTTGCTCGACGTTGGGCTCCAAATATGGAAAGCCTGTGACAAAACGCTTGCGCCAAATATGGAAGTCCTCCCCTCCCTCCCTCCCCAGACATCCTACGCATTGAAAAAAACAAAACCGAGGTTTTCAATCATTTTCGGCCTCTGAGGGCCCTCGCCAGGCTTCAGGACTGTCAAAAAACTATTCACGGTGAAAGACCGGCCCTGTGGAAACGGTCGGGACTTTCGAGGACCCCGCGCTGAAAAAGTCAAGACATTGGATGTCTGGGCTCCCCCCTCCCTCCCTCCCTCTCTCTCTCTCTCTCTCTCTCTTTCTCTCCTTCCTCATCCACTTTTATCCGTATAGATAACTCCTCCCTGTCGTACCCCAGGCGTGTCGGCAAGGAGAGCCGGGCATTTCGCTGGATACTTCCTCTCCGCGTAAGACCCTGAAGGTCGCCGGCTTCATGGATGGGCGGGGGGGTCGTTTTCACAATGGGACTCTCGCCTTCGCGCCAAGCACATTCGTCCTAAAAGTCTCCAGTAGTTACAATGATGGAGCACAGGCCGTTTTGAGAATGGAGTTCTCGTCTTAGCGCAGCGCACATTCGTCTTAAAAATCCGCAAGGATGCAGGGCGGGTCTTCTTTAAACTGGGGCTCTCGCCTTACGCGGCGCCGCGCACATTGGTCGTAAAAGCTTGCAGCAGCTTCAGGGAAGGCAGCTCTTTTGCAACATCGGATTATCGCCTTAGCGCCGCGCACATTCGTCTTCAAAACGTGCAACAATTCCACAGGATGGCCGAAGGTTCCTTTGCAAAGTTGGGCTTTCGCATGAGACTTTCTGGGTTGACAAACAAATACTTGAACAGATGTAACAGCTGCAAGGATAGAGGGCGGTTCCGTTCAAAATGGAGCTCTCGCTTGAGTTCCTCGAAGACGGGGATCTTGCTGGACACCTCCTCGAACTGTATGCTCGCAATCCTCACGATTCGCTGGCAGGATGCAAGGCAGGTTCTTTGCAAAACGGAGGCTTGCGCATGAATGGCAGACCCATAGGGTGCTGGTCATTCAAGGGGGCACTTCTTGCAGCAAAAAAGATTGCAAAGACTGGCGATTGAAGACTCGCGATGGAAAGGTGTATTCAGCATCGTTGATACATCTTGAGTTTACTATTGCCCTCCTCCTCCTCCTCCTCCTTCTCCTCCCCCTCCTCGTCAACCTCCTCCTACTCCTCCTTCGCCTCCTCCTCCTCCTCCTCCTCCTCCTCCTCCTCCGCCTCCTCCTCCTTCTCCCTCCAGCCTACCCCTCCTCCTCCCACCCTCGCTCCCTCGTCCCTCCTCCCTGCTCCAGCGCTAGCTCGAGCAGCCTCCCCGGAGAGCTTGGGAAGCCAGCGCCAGGGCGCCTACAACGCCGCCTCGGGACTCCCCTCACCTCCTCTCCCCGCACCTCGCCTTGCCGCGGCTATGGCGCGCCGCGCGATGGATGCCCCTGCGGAATAGTTGCGCAGTCTTTGCCCCGAGCCTTACGCGACTTGGGTTGCAGAGGTTGGCGTCCCACCTTCCTGGGGAAAGCCCTTCAGGACGCGCTGGCAGCGCAACATGATCCCGCTCGCGGTCAGACAGTCTCACCAGCTAAAGGTTCTGATTGTGGGAGCGGCGGCACGCAGTAAGGAGCAAGCGATGCGGTGCAGGACCCATCGGTGGACGTCACCCACGGGGGACGGCGAGGACATCAAAGACCAGGTCAAAGACGTCGTGGAGATGGAAGCCCTGCCTCCGGCGCCCCCCGCGGTCGCCTCATTGCCCTCTCTTGCCATTCCCAGGCGCCAGATGTTTCCGCAAGAGTCTCCGCCACCTGCGTCTACTCTGCAAGCGCCCGCGGCCCAGGCAGCTTTGCTAAGGGACACCCCCGCATTCAGGCACCTCTCCAGAGGGAGGGAGGGAAGAGGGAAGAGGGAGGGAAAAGGTCGGAAGAGGAGGAGAAGGAGGAGGAGGAAGAGAAAAAGAAAGTTAGATAATTAGAGGAGGAAGGAGGAAGGAGGAAGAGGAGGAGGAGGAGGAGGAGGAGGAAGAGGGAGAAGGAGGAGAGAGGTAGGAGGGAGACATCCGATATCTTGACTTTGACAATACGGGGCCCCGAAGTCCCGACCCTCTCCCCAGGGCCAGTTTTTCAACGTGAGACATTATTCGACGGCCCCGGGACCCTGCCAGGGCCTCAAGAAGCCGAAAACACCAGACACACGAACACACACACACACACATACACACACACACACACACACACACACACACACACACACACACACACACACACACACACTTTTTGCGTCGGCGGCTAGGCAGAGTGACTGCGCTATCGGATGAGCATTGGTAGGACATACGAATGCGAATTAAGCCGCAACGCACGGGGGAGAGAGGAGGAACGCCCAGCGAAGGCAGGAGGGAGACGGAAGCTGGGCCACACACACACACACACACACACACGTTGCGTCGGCGCCTAGGCAGAGTGACTGCTCTTTGGCGATGTGGCATTAGTGGGACACACAAAACGCGAATGAAGCTGCGGTGCACGTGGGAAGAGAGAGGAAGCCCGGCGCGGGCGGGAGGGAGAGGAAGCCGGGCCTGCTCAGAGCAGGGCCGGGCCGCGGCGGGGCAAGCGCCAGGGCGAAGGGCCAGCGGCGACGGCGAGGCAGCAGCTGGGGGATGGCAGCCGGAAGGCGGCCGGGCACAGCCCAGGGGGGGGGGGGGGGGGGTGGGGGCAGGTCCAGCGCGAGCTGGAGGCGGGGCAGCGCAGCAGGGCGGCCGTGGTGCCGTGATCCGAGTGACCTCCAGGCAACCGAGAGTGGCAGCTGGAGAGGACCACCCCAGGCGAGGGGCCGCGGGCAGTGGGGAAGGAGCCCCAGCAGGACGGAGAGGAGTGGGCGAGGGCCGGCCAAGGTGCCGAGACCCGCAGGACCTGCGAGGCTGCCCGAGGGCGGACGGCCCAGGATAACCCCAAGGCGAGGGGGCCGAAATTGCACAAGAAGACGTGCGAGTAACAAAGGCGGAGCCCGCCGACCGACAGCGCCGGAGGAGCACACACACACACACAGAAGCCTGCGTCTTCATATGTCCCACGCGTTGGAGGACTGGGACCAGGAGGGCGGGGCGGCCTGTGCCCTGGGCCTCCGCGAGCCGCCCGGCGGCCGCCACCAGCGCGGCGCCCAGCGGCTCCGCACACGGCCGTGCCCGCTCCCCCGTGCCTCGGCAGCAGGGCGCCGCCGCCGCCGCCGCCGCCATCGGCGTCGCCGTCCCAGATACGCCACCGTGCTTCTGGCACAGAGTGGAGTGCCCCAAGGCTCACAGCTGTACTGCTGCTGCTGCTGCTGCTGCTGCTGCTGCTGCTGCTGCTGCTGCTGCTGCTGCTGCTGCTGCTGCTGGAGCCAGGATTTGTGCTCACAGCTGGACTGCTCCTGCAGCCAGCATTGTAGTTTCTTACGGGCCCAAACCACCAATTTCCCGGGCGCTCTTGGCGCTCCCGGAGTGTTCCGCATGACCTCTAGGACGGCCGCAACGCCCCAAACGACCCGCAGACTTCCGTGGAGCTTCCCACCGAGCGCCCAAGACCGTCAAGCAGCGCCTCTAGACGGCCCAGGATGGCTCCAAGACGCCCCAAGAGGCCTCCAAGAGGCCTCCCAAGAGTGCCCCAAGAGGCAACAAACATAACTTTTCAATTGGTTTCTTGAAGGTTATTGGGGTACTCGCGTTCTGGCTTCCCGACACTCCAAGACGGCCCAAGAGGCCCCCGAGATCGCCCCAAGACGGCCCAAGAGGCCCCCAAGACGGCCCCAAGACAGCCCAAGAAGGCCCCAAGACGCTCCAAAAGGCTTCTAAGACGGCAGGGGGCCCGACCAGGGTCCCCAAACGTACATATCGAGCCCGCGACCCCAAGAAGCTCCCAGAAGGCCCCAAGAGGCCCCCAAGAGGTCCCAAAGAGGCCCCAGGAGGCCCCCAAGAGGCCTCCAAGAGGCCTCCAAGAGGCCGCACAAGAGGGCCACAAGAGGCAAACATCCCAACGAACAACCTAGAGGCCTATGACCCACAATTCACGCATGGTGGCGGGATGGACCGAAGGCCATTTGTATCCGCCGCCCCTGTGGTCTTGTCACAGGGGTGCCTGGCGTGCTGAACCCTACTGGTTTGGTTTTGGTTCTTTTTTCAAAAGAACTCTCCCCTGGGGCTTCGGCGCGTCCCGCCGGCTCCCAGAGGATGCCTAGACAGGGGGACCCGAACGGACATCTCGAGCCCTCGCCCCGGAGAAGCTCTGAGGAGGCCCCAAGAGTCCTCAAAGACGTCCCTAGCAAGCCCCCAGGACGCCCCGAAACGCCCTCAAACTGCGCACCAGAGGCCCCAGAAAGCGCTCCGAAGAGTCCCCGACAAGCATCCCCTCTGCCCCCTGCTGCCTCCTCCCTCCCTCCTCCTCCTCCTCTCCTACTCCTCCTCCTCCTCCTCCCCTCCTCCTCCTCCTCCTCCTCCTCCTCTCCTCCTCCTCCTCCTCCTCCTCCTCCTCCCCTCCTCCTCCCTCCTCCTCCTCCTCTCCTCCTCCTCCTCCTCCTCTCCTCCTCCTCTCCTCCTCCTCCTCCTCCTCCTCCTCCTCCTCCTCCTCCTCCTCCTCCTCCTCCTCCTCCCTCCTCCTCCTCCTCCTCCTCCTCCTCCTCCTCCTCCTCCTCCTCCTCCTCCTCTTCCTCCGCCTCGTCTTCCTGGTCCTCCACATGTTCATTGCCCTTCTCGACCTCCTTCTGCCCCAACTCCCCCATCCTCATTCTCCTCCGCATGCTCTCCCATCCTCCACCTCCTGCTCCACGGCGTCCTCATCCTCCCCACGTTCCTCCTGCTATTCCTCCTGTTTATCACCAAGGTGGCTTCGCAGCGCGCGGCGGCCCGCAGCCGTCTTGCCCTGCGGCGGGCGCGCCCGCCGTGCGATAGCCCCCAGCCCCACGGCGGGGCGACCTCGCGAGCGCGAGCGCTCGCCGGCGTGGCACCGCAGGGAGCGGCGCCAACGTTCCGACGCTCGTGCTCGGCTTCGGCGGCACCGAGACCGCCTGCTGCTGCTGCTGGCGCACCACGGCAGCCAGCCGCCCATGCATGGTTCGCGCAGCGCCGCCCCAGCGGGAGCCGCACGGGCGGCGCGGCAGGGGCGCAGCGGCGATGGCCTGGCTCTGGCTGCTCTCGCTGGTGGGACCCCGTGCCCGACATGCAGATGCCGCAAGAACGAGGCGTGGTGGCGGTTCTGCAAGCACTGTAAGGGCGAGATCGTGCCGTCCCAGGCTCCTCCTCGCCGCCCTCGCTCTGCTGAACGGCGTGCTGGCATGCAGCGTGCGCCATGGCAGGAGGACGGTGCCGCAGCACGGCGCGACAGCCTGCAGCGTGGCCCAGGCAGCAGAGCTGACACGGCAGGAGGAAGGCCACGCGAAGGTTCCAGGGTGCGCTTTGCCCTGGCAAACGTGGAGGAGCTGCCCAGCGGGAGCGACGCCGACCCCGAGGAGGTCAAGCTGGTGCAGCTCATCAGCCTGCTGGAGCTCAGCCAGGACGAGTGCGGTGTGCGGAAGTACCAGCAGCAGCTCGACGACCTCCGCAGCGCTCGTCGGGCGCGGCCTATGTCGGTCGACGAGGCGATGGCAGCCAGGGACGCAGCAGCCGATGCCCTGGACAAGGCCGTCGAGCAGGCTGAATCGCTCCAGATCCAGATGGACACCGCCAAGGCGATGGTGGCCCCCCGCTCCGCCCAGTATGATGCAGCTCTGGCGGCTTACACTACTGCAGCGCAGGCCCTGGCGCAACAGGTGGCTGGCGCAGCACCGCCGACGGCTGGCGAGGCACAGTCGGGGCGGCTGTCCATCGCCAAGTTGCTCCAGGACGACAACGTGGAACTCGACGACGAGGGACTCTTCGGGTTGGAGGCCCTCGAGGACTACGAGATCCAGGAGTCCGACCGCGAGGAGGCCGCCAGGAGGAAGGCCGACCTTCAGGCCAAGTTCAAGGCCATGGCGCAGGAGGCCTTCAGCAAGTTCGCCTCCGAGGCCCGCGAGCTCGAGCGGCAGCACACGGAGCTCAAGAACCGCCTCCAGAAGAAGCGCAAGACCGCTGATGCAGCGGAGGAGGGGGCGACTGTTCAAGCGACGAAGGCGGGCGCCACGGCAGCCCCCGAGGCTGGCGCGCCTGCAGCCCCTGCTGGCGGCGCCGCCGCCCCAGGTGGACCCTCGGCCGAGGCCAGCAACGACGTGGTGGAGGCGGCGCGCGCGCGGCTGGCAGCCGCTGCCAAAGGCGCCGGCCGTGGAGCTGGCAGCAGCGGCGGGACCGCTGCCCCTCCACGGACGTCCGTTTGACGGCCCCGCTGCGGGGCAACTACACCATCGGCCACTACAAGTTCATGAAGATGACGCCTCCCCAGCTCCTGTGGGCGATCCACCTCCGAGGAGGTGCCACGACTGGTCTGGCAACTACTATGTGGGGCACTGCGCTGATCAGCAGTGGACGTTCTCCTTTCCTGCCTACACTCCTGCATGGGGCCTGGTTTAATCTCGGGAGACTACTTTCACCAGGATAGCGAGAGTGACGGCAA